GTATATCTTAACCCTCACAAATATCCATTTATTTTAAGGTGGTTTTTCCATTCTTAACTGAGTCATACAGTTCGAGTCAAGATCCACCAGAGAAATCCATACCAATTTGCACATTGAAGAATTTCCCAAATGCCATAGAACATACGCTACAGGTATCATCATATCTCATGTGCATGTTAAATAATATACCTTACGGTGATTATACCTATAACTGTGTACCATCATGGTAATATCACGGAACAGGCTGTATACAGTGCATGTCAACTAAAGATAAATATGAAAAGTATGTCTGACTCCAGAGACAAAATTGCCAAAAATTTTTCTACATTAATCTGTCCGCCAAATACCAACTGTGACGTCATGTGCTAAGGGTCAATAAGGGTCAATAATTCCTTTTTAGTGGGCAAGGGATGCGTTTGAAGGTTTATTCACCCAAGCAGCAGAGAATATTTCGCAGTATCTAAGGTACAGTAGCTACTTGTTTTCATTCATATAGAACAACAAGTTATAAGACTGTGTAAATAACTGCTATTGATGATGTATTTTTTTAGTATTTCAGTATTTTTTTATTTTGATTTTTTTCTAGTGATCCTAAATTCATAGAACGTTTTGCGAAGCTACCAGGTGTTCAACAGGTTTGAAAAGTCCCAATGTTTGCATGCAGGGAATTTTATTGAGATCATATGACTGAGACAAGCTTAGGGGTTTTTCCTAAGAATTGGATTATGCCCTGTAATGGGCCACCAAAATCTTTCAAGAAAACCAGCCTGGTTTTAATCTTTCCTTGGCCGCGACAAAATACTGTATGATAAACAGTACAGTGCATTTTCACCCAACACAAAGCGGGATTAATCCACTCATCTTTATCACACGCGAGGCCACATACTCTACAGACCTTTATAGTGACCATTTTAGTTGTCTTAACTCTAAGTTACGTTCCAAAGTTTGAATTGCAATAAAACGTAGAATTTTTTTTCTATCAAGGTTGAAACTTTAGAAAATATTCAGAAAAATCTCGTGGACGAACTGCCAAAGAATTTCGCTGATTGTGTGAAGTGGGCAAGATTTTTATTTCAAGAAAATTATCATAATCAAATTGCACAACTTCTTCATAACTTCCCCCCAGATCAGGTTTGTTACATGTCGTATTGTTGGAGTATAAGTTGCAACTGTCTATATATAGCGTAATGTATTGCAGGGAACAGATACAAGTATACATAAACAAAATGGCAGTGGTATAATGTCGCTCTCATCTCCTCTGACGTTTTTCATATTTTCTGTTTAGACAACCAGCTCTGGTCAACCATTTTGGTCAGGTCCAAAACGATGTCCACATCCTTTAATATTTGATCCTTGCAACGTACGTTACATTTCGTTACTTACCCTTGGTATTTATCACTATAAGTGTTATATTCTTCCTGTTTTAAATTGTTCTAAAGTTGTGTTGAAATTTTAGATAAGCCTCTATCATAAAGCATGATGATTTAATAATGACTTTTCCATCCGGCTATTTCTCATTTATACTTGCAGGAAACGCACATGAATTTCATAACATCTGCTGCCAATCTGCGCGCTTTTGTCTATAATCTCAAAGGTCAGTACATATCAAACAACCTTTCTGAACAATTCCTTTTGATGATTACGTCACGAATACGTTTTGGGACCCTCGATCTCAACACCACATGCACAAAGGCAACTGGCTCATAATTCACGAAAGCGAGGCTCCCAGGTCAAATGACGATCAAATACCTAAATGGTCTATCTCACCAACTGATTTACTATTGTGTCTAGAATTTTATTAAATGTAATCGCCTTGATAGGTTCGGTGGACAGAAAGTTTATTCTGGAGATTTTAGAACAGATCACTGTTCCAACATTTAAACCTAAAACAGGTATGTTAGTCAAGTTGTGTATTTGTGCGTGAATTGTTGACTACTCCACCCTGCAGTTGTTGTTGAAATGTAATGTTGTGATTTTGTAGGAGTGAAAATACACGTGAGCGACCAGGAGGCTGAGGCTGCGACACAAGCGTCAGTAGGTAAACACAGCTGCATGATCCTTCCTGCATTGCAAAATTCATGTTAACATAATTATTAGACTGTGTTTAATCGTAAACGCCCTAATTCGCATGCACTTATGAATGATGTGTTGTTTTCATTCGATTTAGAACAAACTGAAGTCGATAAATTAATGTCCAAACTGCCCTCAGCCGAAGTATTGAGTGGAATAAAAATTTCAAATGTTGAATTTGAAAAGGTACGGCATATAGCAAGTTGTAACTTTTCTTTTACTGAAATTGCCATCTCAAGTTGAAACGAAGGACTGGCGATAGTGAAGGAGCTCGTCTTACAGAAAAACAACCACATAATGCGCGGCCAATCTTGCTATTAGCTATTATCAGTTTTCTAGTAAAATTTCGAAATGCATGACCATTCAATATACTGTGCAAGAATAGGGCGAAAATTCTGGACATTCGAATTCTACCCAATTTCCACTCACGAATTAACCATTACCAAAAGGTTGAGAGCAAAATAAGCGCTGACAGTTTTAAATATTACTTAGGATGATGATACCAACTTCCATATGGACTTCATTGTGGCATGTTCAAACCTCCGAGCTGAAAACTATGATATAGCTCCTGCAGATAGACACAAGGTAACAAATATTACCATGTTTTATTAACACTATATAAGGGCCTGTTTGGGTGTTTACATGGAGTTACTAAGATCATTCATTCATCGTTTGATTGTTCGTTTAGAGCAAATTAATCGCAGGTAAAATAATTCCAGCAATAGCGACAACAACTGCTGTTGTGTCTGGACTGGTATGCTTGGAACTATACAAGGTAAAGATTGGACTGAATTATAGTTCACATCATCTGGAGTACTTTAGCGTTTTAAGCATATGCCCTTCTTCTAGAAGAATAACATAAGTGGGGCAGACGAAATACATATAAATGTGCTTCTGCATGTGGACTGTGGTATATACGGAGATGGCATCGTGATAAACACGTAAAGAAACATCTTAGAATATAAAAAAAATAAACACCTTTGCACGTTCAATGTGGAACTGTATCCGTATTTGCTCGCATCTCATGATTGTTGGGCCGCCTCATTGCAGATAATTCAAGGAAGTAAGAAATTGGAGACGTTCAAAAATGGATTCATTAATTTAGCTTTGCCTTTCTTCGCATTTTCTGAACCAATCTCTGCACCTAAAAATAAAGTAAGAAGATTACCTTAATATATTTTATTTATTCAGATCTTTCCATTTCATAATTGATTATTAAACTTGACTTATTATTTCTTATGACCCATTTTATTTTAGTATAACGAGACAGAATTTAGCCTATGGGATCGGTTTGAATTAACGCTGAACGAAAAGGGAGAAGAACTTACCCTTCAAGAATTCATGGACTACTTTCAAGTAAGAAAACAAATCTGACTTATATTTTGACGTTTTGTGAAGTTGTCCGGCCTGTAGGTTGCTTTGTTTTCGTTGTTACACACTCTTATGTAATTGAGCCAAAATTTTGTCTTGCATAATCAGGGAATAGCAGGGAACAGCTTTTTCAAATTTCGGGTTAGACAAATCGGTTCAAGAAAAGTTCTCGATATTTATGGGTCTTAGTTGGAAAAGGTATTAGTGTCGAGACGTTGGGAAGTGTTCTTTTACGTTTTCGGCACGAACTGATTTATCTATCTTGCTCCTATTAACTAAGAAATGGGGTACCACTAGAATTATTAAACATGACGTTTCTGACGATCTTGAATGTGGTTCGTCGTGACTTCATTATTTACTGTATGTACTCGTAATTTAGTGATTGTGGATTTCTATTGCATTGATTATAGAATGAGCATAAGCTAGAAGTGTCCATGTTATCACAAGGCGTGTGTATGCTCTACTCGTTTTTTATGTCTCAATCTAAACTGAAGGAACGTCTACCTCTGACGTGAGTAATACTTTAAAGTTGAAGAGGGAGGGATTGCTTGCGTTTGATTGAGCTGAGCATTTATTTTTCATCCTTCTGACGCCAACGAATACCGTAATGTTGTTTTTTAGAATGACAGAACTTGTTGCAAAAGTATCTAAGAAGAAGATCAAGCCTCATGTTAAAGCCTTAGTTTTTGAATTATGCTGTAATGATGCTGATGGTGAAGATGTCGAAGTCCCTTATGTCCGATATAAGTTCCGATAAACATGCAACTTGTGAACACGAATGTGCTCATGACATGAAGCTAAAGCTGCATTGTATCACAAATATCTTAACTAGAACTGCATGTGCTCTTTAATTTAATATTAGTTGCTTCTTTATTAAGTTTTATGTATTAGCTAATGATATTTCCTATTCCTTTGAAATACAAATAATTGTCAAGTAGTTATCTTGTTTTAATAAGGGTGGGTTAATTAAGGCAGTATTTTTCCTCCACGTAATTGGCTTTACGACTCTCATAATTTCCATCCACTGTATTTCTTGCCATTTCCTTCATTTGTAGCTATCTGGTCCTGTCGATGTTGGAGATCACTATATAATCCAAAACAGTTTGGTTGTCTTGTAGCTATGCTTGTAGGTCACCCATCGTCATCCATTTCTCGCCTACATAACTTAGTAAGTCGTAGCGAATTAATAGATCAAACAAAAACCTAGTTCTCATTTGGTCGTTACCTGTCATTCGGTTGATGTAGACAATCGACAGTAGACTGGATTGATCTGGTCTTTGTGTGGTATGCAACGCATAGTGGTATAAACGTTTTTTGCCCGTATAGCAGAAATATGCTGACACTTTTACATCTGTCATAGAAGTTACAAGTAATATTAAATGAAAACTAGGCGTAAGTTATAAACTTCTCAACTGTCCTGCTGAATGCGGAAAGTCTGATGTTACACGAAGTGTGATTGGCTCGATAGTTTTGTTGAGCCAGTGATCCCTATTCGTGACAAACACGCGTGACAGTCTCGCACTATATTTGTCCCCAGGAAGCTGTCGTGTGTTTGTGGTGTGACGACATGGTATACAAAACATAAATTTTAAATTTTGAGTTGAGAGTCTACAGTATGTAAAAAGTCTTTAAGGTCAAATAATCTTTCAGTTTCGTCCTAATAACATTCGTTTTCTATGAATGGGATCGAAGGTATCAGGTCTATACCGTAAAATATGGGATTGGGGAGATTATGAAGAAGAATCCAGCGCTGTAAATGGGGCTGAGAACCGAATAAATAACCTCTTGAACAACTACAGAGGTTCAATTTTCGTTTTGAAACGAGTTAGGTAGGTATATTCTTAGTGATGACAATAAAATAACGTTCACATACATATAAAACCACGGCTGAGTTACCTTCTAAACTGGAACCGGAGGACTACCTGACATAGTCAATAGTTGGTTTATCCTTGGCATTCCTTGCCCATTGGCCCCTTTCTGTTTACATGTGTCAACAAAATTAAAAAATATTGTTGAAACTAAATCGAGTGGAACAATATTGTTCAGTGTTGATAAAAATTGTGAACAATATGGGCAGCAGGACATTTTCAATCCTGTTTATATCATAGGCAATGTCTTTCCTTCAGTAATTAAGATTGACAAATTAATTAAGAATGCCTTGCCCCTTCTACTTTTTTCAAAAGAAAGAAATCACAACAAAGTTTACAGATGAGGTTGCACACATAAATTGTCCCACTTTTTAATTATGTATACAAACTATAGAAGTTAACACAATTTTTCTTTTTTTTAAATTTAGTTCGATGTTTTTCAATGAAGATGGGGATTTAGCCCACGAATTTTATGAAGAAGTGAGGTCAAAAAAGAAGAAGCGATCAAAAATGAAGAGAGTTGATTGTAGTTTATTGCGACCAGAGGTTTGTTTGAGGAATGTTTGCCCATTGTTCAGTTTAATGTTGAAATGATCAACATGGCTTAAAATTTTTTTTGATAGGGAAAAGTTGACTTGCCCTTTCCAAAAATCCATCCAGATCTACCAATCATCATGTGTGAAGTTTAACAAAACAATCTGCAGAAACACACAAACTTGTCATGTGCCTGGTGTTCAGGATAATTTAGAGCAAAACAAATTAATTTATTTGTACCTGCTGTGCTGATAAATGAGTGTTTCTATTTCTTGTAATTATATTCATATCATGAAGTAAACATGTTACCCTCATTGGGTTCAACTATTGATTATGAAATAATATGTCTTTATGCAGTTTATTTTGTTTGCAAAAACAAACATCAGGGGAATGTGCTTCTTCCTGCTTCTCCATATTTCCCTCTAGGAAATCAAAATATTTTTCATTGTTAACATCACAGATACTTATGATTAGCTTAAAATAAAATTTTTAATTAATTATCAAATATGGATCACACTGGAAAACAAAATAGCTATCAGAGCTGAAAATAGCACAATAATTGGGGGGGGGTGTATGTTCATATAATTGGTTTAGCCTGACAGATTTTTGAAAATGCATATACATACAAAAGAAATCTGTTTGAAATCTGTTTGAAAAAGAAATTGGTCTTTAAAACATGGTCATAAATTTACCCTTAAATATTAAATGAGCTTTATTATTTAAAATTGAAATCAACTCATCTAGTGAAACATCACTGACATGTTTGAACAGTTGTGGAAATTTAGTGCAGGAGGTGGGAGGGCAGACCTACCCGAATTTTTAACATCATGCCATTACATGCCATGCTGTCATGGTGATGGGGGACAGGGGGGTGTCCCCAACCTTTTTAGGTTGTTTTGTAATAAATTTGCAAAAACCTTTCGTTATTAGATTAGTCTTGAAGAGTTTCTCGCTATTTATGATCATTGATCGTTTCAAATCTATCTAACGCTTCCCACAGACGATTCCCGGCTCTGAAACCTTTGTGACAAACTACCAAAGCTGATCTTTCTTGGCTGATCTTACATGAAGTTACAGCAATTGGAAAATTCTCGAGTCGAGAGGAGAAGGAACTGATGGGGCAATACATCATGTATAGATTTTTAAATAAATTTTATAGCTTCCCAAGAATTTCTCGGCATCTTTCAGGGACGTCAAAGGAGGACATTCAATATCTTGTTGATGGGGTTCTAGGCAGAGAACGTGCTAGACTAGCTGAAGCAATCACCCTCATAGAATCTTCTCATCCAAAGAAGAAGATTTTAGCTCAACATTTGTTAAGCGAAGTTTTAAATGTATGTCGACAGAATTTATTCCAGCCTCATTCATATCGCATTGGTATTTCAGGCTCACCTGGAGCAGGGAAGTCCACTTTTATTGAAGCTTTAGGGACAATATTGACTGACAGAGATCATAGGGTGGCAGTACTTGCTGTGGATCCATCATCTGTTACGACTGGTGGGTCATTACTAGGAGATAAAACACGAATGACAGAACTTAGTAGACATCCTAATGCTTATATTCGACCATCTCCATCAAGAGGTGCCTTAGGTAAGGTAAATTCCAGAGTACTTTAAAAGTGACTGTCAATGAATATTAACAGTTTTATATTCTGTCTGGAAATAACAGACATGGCTGCAATGTTCTAAACTGCTTCCCATCCTATAGCAGACCACCACAAGCAATTAGAGTAATCTGCAAAACAGCGGAGTCATCTGGTAGGGAAAAACATTGTAAAACATTGAACTAAAGGTGCATAGGACTCCTTGACTGCAGTTGATGAATATCAGATCTTAAGATCTAGAAGTATTGGCATTGAAAAGTTTAGATACAAGTCTGTGTCTCTTAATCACTGCATTTGTTGAATCCTTCTAGTCAATTTTCATAGTTAGATTTGTTATATAATACAATGAAGTTTTTCTTTTATATGTAGGTGGTGTGACTCGATGTACAAATGATGCTATAGTTCTATGTGAAGGAGCTGGTTATGATACGATCTTGGTTGAAACAGTTGGTGTAGGTCAATCAGAACTTGCCGTCTCAGAAATGGTAGATATGTTTATCTTGTTAGTCAGTCCTGCATCCGGAGATGAATTGCAAGGGATTAAACGTGGGATTATGGAGGTTGCAGATCTAATAATTATTACTAAAGATGATGGAGACTTGAAAGCAGCTGCCAGAAAAATGAAGGCCGAGTACATAAGTGCAAGTAAATTTTTACGGAGCAAGAAGTCTTTATTGTGGAAGCCTAAGGTATATATATTTCTTTTGTTAAATGCCATGCTTACTTTGCAAATGCTGCACAGGAATAGTTTGAATGGCCTTACTTTCCCACCACTCAACATTGGTATCATCGCTTTCCCTATGTTGTGTCAAGTGCATTAATTGAGAGGTCAATTCCCTGGTAACCCAAAGGTAACCATAAATGAAAGTTCTTAACACTACATAACACAAATTTTGTATAACTTGCATGTGATGCACAGTGCACAGTCTTCAAACATTCCTTGCATTGTTACAGTTGGAATTTTTTAAATGCAAGGTTCTAAAACATGAACTGTTTCACCTCATATCTGTTTCAAATTTTTAAAAACTTTATATTGCATGATACCAGTTGATTATGAGAAAATTGAAAGGGTAAACTGGGCCGAACACAGACCTTACTACATGTTTTTTTTGTGACGTATCAGATGGAGTATATTTATTATGCATCTTATAACTTCCGATTTTATGCCATTGTTCATTTGGAACTTTCTTAGATTCTCACCGCTTCATCAACAAAACGAGAAGGTATTAATGAAGCATGGAATCAGGTGGACGAATTTTTTAAAATTATGACTGAATCAGGGGAACTAAAAATGAGACGAAAAGAACAGCATGGACTTTGGATGTGGAGTTACATAAAATATGAAGTTCTGGAATTATTTAAGAAACATCCAGCTGTCAAAGAGAATGTCAGATATTATGAAGAGCAAGTTAAAATTGGAAACATTACACCAGGATTAGCTGCTGATGAATTATTGGGGCTGTTTTTACAATCACGCTGATTAAAGGAAGAAACAAACAAAATCTAATAAAGATTACCATATTACTTGAAATGACTCTCTTTTGTCTTGAATATGGGTGGAAAAGGTTTATTTGATGACCTAATGTTTAAAATGTGATGGCCCAGTTACAACTCTAGTCGTAGTCTCCTTACCAAAGGCAAAGCCCCTATTTTATATTAGGCAGTTGTTATACCACAGAGACACCTAACATGGTACTTCAGTAACAAAATGGTGGGTGTAGGATATCGCTGTAATATTGAAGAGTATAAAAGGCTCAGCCTTCATTAGCCTCTAAAAACAAGGACAGTTGAGCTGTAGAGCAGAGGCTGTAGAGGGAGCTATTCCCCTCCTCATAACATTTTATTTTGTGTCAAAGTGGAACTTATAACTTATTAATTATTAGCTAATCTATCTAGTGACTAATGAGTAGTGCCACTAGTGTATCTAATTAGCACATATAACACGGTATTTATTGGTTTATTAGGCCGTGTTATATGTGCTAATTAGATACAAACTTTCATTGAAGCGCATGCGTGCCTTCAGTGGTCTTAAAGAACACCGCAGATTTGGAATTTGGAACCGAACTTGACAACTTGTGGATAAAATTTTAGTTATTTTACCTATAAAGTAAAGGATGTCAAATGATGCGGTAAAAGTGGGAATACCGTTGATTGATTTGTCAGTTTTTCAAGGTGAAAACAATCAGAATGAATGCGTAAATACAACAAAATCTATTGCAGAAGCATGTAGAGATTACGGTTTCTTCTATGTTAAAAATCATGGCGTAAGTGAAGAAGTACAAATAAATTTATTTAACGCTTTGAAGAGCTTCTTCGCATTGCCTCTGAGAAAGAAAGAAGTGATAAAGTCGCAAGGAACACCAGGAATGGTGGGTTACTTTCAATTTCAAAGTGAAACAACAGCGTACTTAGTAAATGATGCTCCCGACTGGCGAGAAGGGTTGTACTCTTTCGGAGACGAACTTCCAGACACACACCAAAGCAAAGAGAAATTTCCCCTCGTTACCCAAAGAAATTTACTGCCTGAAGAACCTGGAGATTTCCAGGATGCTCTTGATGCATACCATAAAGAACTGAATGTATTGGGTTTCAAAATCGTGAATGCCCTCGCACAAGCCATGGGTAGGTACTGTAATGTTTAGATGCTTTAGCAGCTGTACTCTGTAGTAACAGAAGCTTTGCAGTAACTGAATATGAAATGCAAGTTCAGTGTTTGTGTTATGATTGTGTTTGTATTGACTTACTAAGTCAGGGAGATAGGTCAGGGAGATAGGGGTGATGAAGTCTGGAAAAAGCATGTATCAATTGTGAAATCCCAAAGGTCAGCAAAAGCCACTCCATGGTCTGTGACAAATCAGTGAGTAAAAGACCCCTTAGACTCAACCCTTATTGACTCTGCAAAATTTTGTAGTTAATTTAGCAGTTTTTTTGCTAATCCTTGTGACAGGGTGTGTGTCAAATAGCAATGGTCACCTTTTACTTATTTCTTATGCTTGGCCCACTTCTGAGTGCTTTGGGTCCCAGGTATTTTCCCTCCATTGCCCTTTCTAGCTATCACCAGGCTTGGAAATTTCCTGGCCCCTTCATAGCTCATCATATACTAATCATATCAACAGCTGATATAAGTGCCAGAGTTGTATTAACATAAAGGATAATTAATCAATAGTATTGAGTTCACATCAATGCAATTGCCTTGTGCAAATCTCATACACAGGGTCTTGCATAAAGCTAAATGTCTACAGTCTGGTTTACCTTTGCTGATAGTAAAATAATAATGTGTTATTCATGCTTTTTATTTTGTGATACTGACATTATAGGGTTAGAAGAAGAATTTTTTATTCAAAAATTTCATCCATATCCTACAACCACCATTGGAATGTACCATTACCTTCCTAGCACTAATCAACCTAATGAAATCTGCTGTGGTGAACATACAGATTATGGTATACTTACAATTCTAATGCAAGATGATGTTGGAGGTCTGGAGATAAGAGGTGAGGATGGTAAATGGATTCCAGCACCTCCCATTCCAGGGACATTTGTGGTCAATCTTGGAGATATGCTGGAGGTATGGACCAATGGTTCATTCAAAGCCACAATGCATCGAGTTAGGAAGTCAAAAACTGGAAGAGATCGTATTTCTGTAGCGTACTTCTTTGGGCCACAGTTGGAAACTGTTGTTAGCCCTCTTCAGATAAAGAATCCAATGATTCCATTTAAAGAAAGGGAACTGAACAGTAATATTGAATTACCAGTTGTATTTGGAGAGTTTTTGGAAAACAAATACAGAGGCACTTTCCCAGACCATGATTACTAAATACAATATGTCTGCAGATGTATTTTACCTGTCCAAATTTATTCTTAAGCACCACTTTTATCATCCTCTGCCAGGAGAACTATTAGGGGCTAGTGGTGTACTGCAGCTAATTGCCAAAATTTAGTAGATAATTTCTATATTAATAAAGTAAATACAAAGTGTAGACGGTGTTCACATTGCAATTGTTTTATATATTTATTTTAACAGCACATTGATAATTGACATCCCCAAAGAGATAATTTGTTGCTTCTGCTCTTCTTGCCTTTGTTTGAGGTTTGACTGATAAAGCACACAACACTATATTTGCGGCTTGTGAAACAGGAAAATTTTGCGATCATACAAGCTCATTTTGACAATTGGTTTATCTCTCTCTGATGGATTAAATAACCTATTTTTGTCCTGCTGGGTGGATTGTAAGCGTTGAACCCCAATGAAGATCTTCAGTGACACATCTTATTGGAAGCGGGAAATGTTCCCATTTTCAAGACTGCATGATGTTCTCCTTCTAAAAAAGTGTCCTTTCTTGATCATATGAAATGAAGACTATCCATGCTCTAAATTACGTTTCATTCTGTGACCGTCATGACGTCATCTGTGCTATATGGCATCCATACATATTACACCCATTGAATCATAATGAGGAAAGTAGGAAACCTATCGCGCATCCTGTGAGTAAGCGGAAAATTCAGTGCAAAATTCCTACTTCTGATCAACCGAAATACACTGGCCAGGTCTCTTTATAAATCGGTGTATCACACCATTGAAGGAGTGAGAACATTCCGTTTCGATTTGATATTTCCTTCAAACATTGGCGCCAATTGAACGGTAATTCAGGGGGACCATATATTCCAATGCACTTTCGATTGACGCCCATGCCTTCAAACAATCCCAAAATGCACTATAGTTAATTAGTAAAAGATATTAAGATTAGAATAATATGGCAGAAGGTCAGAGCACAATATCCAAGAATTGCAAAACTGAGAGGGCAGAATCACAATGTGCAGAAAAAGTTAAAAAAGTTCAGGGGTAATTACGAATGATACTATATATTTCGTTTTGAGTATGATAAGTATTATGTCAATAATTAAAACATCACTGGTTCAGGTACAATCGCGTAAGCAGAACTTCAGTCTGATAGCTTACCTCATACTTGTATGATTGTCAACGAGCGTTTTTCAATGATTGTTCGACACGGTCAGATCGATCAGATTGCTTATTGAGACCCATGAGGCTAGAATGTTTAGAAGGAAATTATAGCCAGATTTAACAATCATGTACAGACAGTACAGTGGCTTTTTAGTCACAGTGTTAGAACGATCTTATTTCCAGGAAACGTACTCGTGGCATATGTGAGGAGAATTTCTGAAAATATTAGGTTGGTCTACTTAGTAGGTAATAAACAAATGATACCATATGAATTTGATAGATATATTTCATTGCATTTATTAATTAATCCAAATTTTATAGGATAGAATTGTTATGTCAAAAGTCTACATTTGTCTTACTGTTGACACATGGTAAAGGCATGTCACTAGGCATTGCATTGTTTTGCTGTCAAAATCAAATAACAAAATAAAAATTAATTTGCTATGTTTAGGCCCTAAATCCAGGGATGGATTCACTTGGAAAATCAGAGTACTATTTGAGGCACCTAGGACCTCATAAGCAATTTTGAGCAGGAGGCCATTATTATTATTAAAGGGGTCTCCCTGACACAATTAAGTAAATTGTTTATCAAGGCCAAATCAGTAGTCTGATTTTGAAATAGTAGAAAAATAATATCTTTTTGTGCTTGACCTACAAGATCTTCCCTGTCTCCTATGGTTTTCCTATGACATTGAAGCAAAAAACGAGGACATATTTTAAACTATTTTTAAATATATTATCCTCATTTTTGGTTAAATGACTGCATTCTTAACTATATAGCTCCAAGTTTTTCGTAGACATACACAGTATCCTAATAAGATTTCTGACAAGCTGAATATTGCAGCAGAATTTGAACAGGAAGAATTTGAACGATTTGTGAAATTATAGCTTCGACAAAGGTTGCAGCTTACAGAATTAAGTAATATTTTTTGTCAATGTCTTACGACAACTTCATATTGGTCTTTAAAATATTTTAATCTTAAAGGATATTTACAATGACTACATACCAGTGTGCAGTGAAACTAGTATGTGTTCCTGCTGAAAAGGGAAACAGCAAATATAAAACCAATTCACACAAGTTCAGTAGAATTAGGACACTGTAAGTTCTCAATGCTAGTAGTATGTAATTGCCTTATAGAAATGATTTGTACAAAGATCTAAATTCATCTCAGTGGCCCATAGTTTACAGTCCAGATTATAACATCAGCTTTTTTGGCCTACAAAAACTTCATCCATTTGACTCAGGAAAATGGGGCAGAGCTGTCGCATTTTTAGTAGGTAGGCACATGCAAATAAAATGAACTATGATATTATTGATATATAGCAGGTAATAGGCAATACCTGCAGGGGCGTAACTGGAATGATAATTGGGGGGAGGGGTGAATATTCATACATCCAGTTCTGCCTGACATATTTCTATTGTAAGCTATGGCACTTACAAACAATCGGCTGTCACTTAGAATTGAATATATGAATATTCACTCCCTCCCAGTTATTGTTCTAGTTATGCTACTGACTATCTGTTGCCGCACCCTGCCAAATTCGTAGATAAATCTTGATTTTGATCAAGCACATTTATATATCTCTTTGATATTGATTTATCAGAGAGTGGTATACTGAAGAATCAAAATTTTATAAGCCCTGTTGAAGCTAGTGAGGAAAATTTGCTGGAAGTTCACACAAAGGAATACCTTGATAGTCTGAAGGTACCCATTCATCTTTTTTGATTTGTGAACCGTAATTCCTTCAAATCATTTTGAAACTCGATAGTTGACGTCTGCCTGACGCCCGTCTTCTGTTTTTAAGTGGTCCTGGAAAGTTGCCACCGTTACAGAAGTACCTCCAGTTGCTCTCTTGCCAAACTTTATTGTCCAAAGAGTTATGTTAAAACCACTTCGGTTGCAAACGGGTGGAACTATTTTGGTATGTGTCAATAACTCTATATCGTTATTTTCTGGTTCATCATTTAGCAATAGTTTTGTCTTATATAGGCTGGCAAACTGGCCATTGATAAAGGATGGGCAATAAATATTGGTAGGTTTTTTTAAGTTCATTTACAGAAACTACTTTTCCAGAAGTTGTCACGCCTAATCCATTTTTCAGAATTGTTATAAGAACTTGTGAGAACGGAAATCGTGCGGTGTAAGATAAGCTGTTATACGACGTTAGAAAGTGTACATAATACAATATTCTGCATTTCCTAGGAGGAGGTTTTCATCATTGTCGAAGTGACGAAGGTGGAGGATTCTGCGCTTATGCTGACATCACTTTATCAATTCACGTAAGTTACATTTCTGCAACATAATTGCATGCTTTGAAAATTATTTCAACTTCCTCGCAGCGGAATTGTGCAATAAGAGTTCCCTTTGATTGCTGATCATACTTTTGAAGAAATTTTACGTGTCCAAAACAAGCCAGTTCTATTGCTTGTATTAGCTATTTGATTTCATAATTTTCCTGTGTGATGACGTGACTTGTATAAATATTGTCTCAAAGCTATTTCGTACATGTGTTTTGTTTTGAGGCGTGTCTCCAAAGTCTTGTCCCTATCACTGGTCCCTATCAATGATAAAATCTATTTTTAGTTTTTATTCAAGAGTTTTCAAGCGATTTCAAAAGCTATGATAATAGACCTTGATGCTCACCAGGTATGTTACTTTGTTTAAAACAAATTACATCACGGAACTCTTGTGAGATAACATTACAATTTTACTAACATTGGGAGACATATATGGAGCATAATTAACAACCACGGATTTAAACAGCAAATAGTAGCTCAATGAACACCACAGAGCTAATAAGGGTTGTGGTACAGTTAATGTTGAAAATCATAAAAAATTGCTATTATAAGGCTTTAGCTTCCATTCCGATATGAGGTCCTTTTTATAGAGGACTATAATATTCACGGTTATGGTTTAATTTGGTTAATTAGTGCATCTATATTTTGGGTAGGGCAATGGCCATGAACGAGATTTTATAGATAATCCTGATGTTTATATCATGGATGTATACAATTTTGGAATATATCCTCGGGACATTTATGCAAAAAGTAGGTAGAAATGAACATGTACATTGTCTGGCCGATCATATTTCATTATTATTAATAAAATTTATAGTCTACTCAATTTCATGTAGGAGCGATTCGGAGAAAAGTTGAGTTAAGACATGAAACTGATGACGCTACGTATCTTCCCCTCGTTGAACGGTAAATACAGCAAATTATCCTACCTTTCTGTACAGAAATGTGCGCAACAAAAATGATACTCTTGGTTAGGCCAATTTGATAGAATAGAATAGAGCGCGGACTAGAAGGGGGCACTCAGCGGTACAACGTGGCCTAGTTTGTTTTCTTTGTGCAAAAGTATGGAAAAAACTGTCCAGAAGGCGAAGCAGCCAACCAGTACAGTGTGAATGCTTATTGCTAGAAAATGCGATTGACAGGTTAGAAAGTTTGCAGACAACATCTAGTCTAAACTAAAGGCCAAGACAAAGGAAACAAGGGGCAAGTGTGCACCAGTAAACACGGCCAATTATTCTGCTAATCTATCCTCGGTCCACCGGGATCACCTTCCAAATATATCATATATATTTGGATGAAAAGAAGAAATTTTCGTAATAAATATTAACGCTTTATTAATCTCTTTATAGTAACGTAAACGAGGCTCTGAGTGAATTTCATCCTGATATCATCATTTACAACGCAGGTACTCGTTTAATCTTGCAAAGAAATTCTGTAGGTAATTGAAACTACGAATCGATATATTTGTTTCTAGGAACTGATATTCTCGAGGGTGATCCTCTTGGAAACTTAGCAGTAACTGAGCAGGTAATGAAATTAAGCAACAAGACGCCCACTCTGGCGTTAGCTTGCGATGCGAATTCTAGGCTGTAGTTACGAACAATATAGCTACGATAGCACCACAATTAGATTGTACTAAGGGTTCGATTACATGGTGCAATTACAGAAGTAGCTGTTGATGTATGGAAATGAGAAATATTGATTCAAAAATGCTGTTTTTCATTTATATTACGTTCTTAGTTTTCATAC